TTAAATAAATATTCTTTAAAGTTATCTCTATAGGCAATTTCCTCCATTGATCCGATATGTTTAACAAGTTTATGCTTTGATTGAAAACCAACATAGAGCAAATTTGTAATTACTTTTTTTCTTTGATCGTCGCTAAACGTATGAGAGAATGGTTCTGTTCTCAAAATACATCTCAAGTTATTTGCGAATCTGCTTTCCGGAATCTCCTCATTGAATGATTCAAACTCTATATCCGAAAAAGTCCGAATTAGAATGTTGTCTGTTGCTTGGCTCAGACCGGTCTTACGTAGGGTATCAGGGTTTGATAAATTTCCATCAGGTCCTTCAAATTCATATTCGGTAAACGGCATAACACAAAAGAAGATGAATAATTCTTTCCACTCATCTGGAGGATCTTTAAAGTACAATTTTTGACTTTGAGATTCCAAATCCACGTCAGATATTCTTTCAATTCCAAAAAATTTAAACACCATTTCTGCATGGCTGATATTTTGATTCGCACCTTTATCGAATAATGTTCTATAATTGAATTTGGTAATCTCAAATAGATCAATATCAGCATCAACTTCAATATCCATATCCCTATCTTCACCGCCACGTTCTAAAATATATCTCCTAATATTATTAGGAAAAGTGATGTTATTCATCGTGCTTACATTAATGTGAGCAAAAACCTCATTATTATTTCTGGTGGGAGTTCCCAATTTATAGGAAATTAATTAATGTTAGCATAAAAGAAATACTTGTTTCAAGTTTCAACTAGGAAATAATTACATTTTGTGGGGTTATTGAAATGCGAACATCAAGATAAAAGTTTTGGTATTACTAAGATTAACGAGCTTAGTAAGATTGCTGATGATAAACAGGAAGATGTTGAGATGAAATATGGAAGAATATAGGTATTTTTAAACAGTTTTGATACGTTGAATTCTAAGGGGACTGCTACAGTTTATAGTTAATTAAATAGCATGACGATCCCACGCAGGGTAACCTGCAAAACGCATGTGCGACACTTCCACTAAAGCAGTATATGCAGGGGCAGAATGAAATGCAGTACACGTGAAGTTTAAATCCATTTCTTACCAAATAAGACGGTTCATTATATAATCAAACTCGGGGATATCAGTAAATTGAAATTACAAAAACAGGAGCTCAATACTCAACATATTATCATGCCATGTATGTACTTTTCTGGGGAAGATAGTAACAATATTACGTATGATGACCCCTCAAATAGATGCATTAGAATTAATCCATCATTATATGCTAGGGTTCAAGATGACAATAAACAAAGCATGAGAGTTTTTTTAGACACTCACCTTTTGAAAATCAGAAATATCTCACATAATCAAAATTTACCTACGTTGGAGCATATAGTATCCAAGCATAATACCTCAATTTCCACTGGATCTACGACTGTGGTGCTGGCCCTAAATTATGTTACGAAAGCGATGGTGACGGCAGAATTTAGAGAGATCAGCAGTGATGAGTTCAAAAATACGTATTTGGCTCCTCTTGATAAGGTTATTAAGAAAGCAAACTTCGGTCGTAAAATTTTGGCAGAAGACTATGGTTATCCTAGAGGAGATGCCAGGCATGTGAAAGATGATATCCAGATATATTCCAATGAAATAGCTTGTTCAATCAATCGTTTCTATCTTGACATCTTGGATGAATTCCACTATTTTGGTTACGCTTCAAGTATCACACCTCCGTTGTCGACAAAACCCAAGGTTTAAGCCCGATATTGCCCATGTGTCTTGGGATGAGGCATCAACTCGTCGAAATACAGATATTTGCTTTGCTATAGGAGATTATAAGAAACCTATTTTTTAACTAAAGGACTTCAAGAATTGAAATTAGCTATAACGGACTTTGTAGAAAAGCGCTCGAACTTGAAAAAATTGAGGCTGTATGAAAACCAGCACATATTTGAAGATCGAGAGTGGTCGTCTAGAGTTTTATGCGCATTAGTTTTAAGAAATTATCTTTATCAAGCCTTTCTCTGTGAGACAGACAGAGTGTTTATCTCAGATCATCAGTCATTTTCGAGGTTTTTCAAATATGAGATTATCGATGATGGACAAATGATCATAGACTACTATGTTATTAATGACCCCGAGACCGTGGAACTTGGCATAACTCTAAGGTCAGCGATAGCAGGCTTTTTCTATAAGGATAATACAGACGCGCTCAGTACAAAAGAGAAATTAGCCGGACTAATTGAAATAAGTCAGAAGACCAAAGGGCCAGATCCATTAGCGAATGTGCTTCCTCGACTTGTGGAAGAACTCACACCAAGTCGTAAACGGAAACGTAGCAAGATATCTGGGAGTCAACTTCGAAAACGATTGATCACTATAGAAGAAAGCAATGAAGTCGACTTTGACGCCATTCGAGGTAACACATTTTGTCGTATAATATACAACCCTGTTGCATCTTTTCCTAATTTGGGGTTACTGCTTCCGACCACAGTGTTTGTTAAATGGTATAACTATCCTGAGCAGGCTCAAGAAAATTTTCCAGATAGAGATAGTTACTATGACATGTACGTCAATGAACTTGAAATTAATGAGATACTTGCAAGTTCTCCCTTTGCTGCAAACTTCGCAAAGATTATAGTATCTGGATACTGGAATGGTATTCCAAGCCAGCCGATGCATATACTTGAAGATTTGGGAGAAGAAATGCAATCTACTGAATGTGATAAATGTAAGGTGCGTAAGTTAAGGAGAGGCTCGCGGAACTTCATCTGTTGGGTATTTCGCATAATGATATTAGACTCGACAATATACATTTTTCAATATCGGGAAGGGTCACTTTGATAGATTTTGGCTTAGCTTTTTACCCATGTAGTGAAGAGCAGAAAAAAAGAGACTTTGAAGCCCTTGATGAGCTTGTCCCAGTTACTGGCTATGGAATTTCTGAAGAGGATAAAATCTGTGATGTTGTCCCGTCCGATAGCAAGTTACGAACGGCGTTATCGTACTCACGGACCAAGCATCTAACAAACTTGCCAAGGTCGCTCGTACTGAACCTGACTGAGCCGATCATCACCTTTCGGGTATCCCGCTGGTCGACTATTGTCCGGAAACCCGGCAACGTCCAATTGAATTTATGGTTGTAAGACGAGTGCATTCAAATGCCTGGTAAACTAGATTCTTCCAGTTTTGATAATATCTTTGGCGTTGTTTCCCACCCACATATAGTCTGCTATAACCAACTTAAGAAATAATTGATGCCATCGAGAATTTTGGCTCGCAAGTTCGACTGGGCAAACCTGTCATCAAGAAGCATCAACGAGATAATCACGGCCCTCATAAACTTTCTGTTCTGTCTTCTTCCACCACAATATACCTCTCGATTGTCTCCATCACTGTTCGCTTCACCACTTCGTCGGTGGGATTGGCTACTATTTCCTCGATAATTCGGTTACCGCGTAGCTTGGCAAAAGTGTGGAAAAAGCGACAAGGATAGTTTGGGGGGATCCCTTTCCCTAATTTAGGTTGGCGTTGATTGTGCTGAGGAACTTGTCGTGCCGGAGCGGTATCTCGGAATCATCTGTAATAGCGATTATCTGTTTCAATAAATAATGCTGTTTGGAATGTTCTGGTAGTAACATTTAATTTCCGCCAATATAGTACTGCGGATTTCACTGCTTTTGATAAAACCTGGTAGGTATTTATTTGTAAAATTTTCAGCCAAAGGTTCACTATTTTGTCCATGTGCTCTAAAATAGACAATCCCGCAACTTCTCTAATACGTAATTCATGCGACTCTATTTAGTAAAAGACGCAGGGTAAAAGTGTCAATCCAGAAGAGGATAGCACATTGTTCGTCGACTTTTGAATTCCTCTCGCGACATTTGTTTCTGACACTTACGATACATTAGATTTACGACAACAAGTACTCAGAAAATGCTACCACAAATATGCATAAGAAAAGGCTTTATAAAAACCACATTTTATGGCTCAAGTAAAAATAAGAAGCCACTTCGGTATTCATAAATGGTGAAATAAATATCACTGGATACACATAGGAATTAAAGACTAAAGAGACTTTAACAATTAGAAAAAGCGCAGTTTACACTTTTGGCTTGTGCACTTTTTTTTAGTGCGGGACCAGTTTACAATTTCTACTAACTTCGACCAGTTTTAAAGTAGCCGCATTTGCGACATTGAGCTAGCGACATTGCGCTCGGCGATTGTGCATGTTAACTATATTGCGCGAAAACAATCCTAAAGTGATAGACTCGGTGAACAAAGAACAATTTACATTAGGTATATGCTTATGAAACATTATCAATATTCTATTGTTTAGCTCTGTGTATTTATTTTGATTTTAATAGTACCATGGCATCATGGTATTCTCTAAAATAAACAAAGTATGGGTTGAACAGGATATAGTTTGCTTATATAATAAAATGTCAAGTGAGAAAATTCTAATCCGGTAAATGCAACGTTGCATCAAACTCTCTAAATTCATTCCATTACGTAATCATCATTCCGATTATGTAAAATGGCAAATGACCCGAATCAAATTAAGGGATGAACAATAAAAGCTGTTTAATATAATGCCATGTATGTATTTTTCTGGGGTAGATAGCAGTGACATCACCATCGATGATCCTAGCAAGCGTCGCATTATAATAAATCCAGAATTATATGATAGAGTCCGCAATAACGAGGAAGAAAATACAAGAGTCTTTTTGGATACTCACTTGCTTAAGATTCGGGGTAATGAAGGGCAAGAACGTCGTGCAGAGAAACTAGTGTCTAAGGGTAATGCATCTGTGGGCCTAGGAAATATGCCTTCTATATCTATTCTTGTGTATACTAGCCGGGCATTGATTACTGCTGAATTTAGGGAGATGAGTAGTGATGATTTCAAGGATAGGTATCTTGCTCTGCTTGATAGTGCTATTAGAGGCTCGAACATTTCAATTCCCCTATTAGCACAAGCATATGCTTATCCACTGGGAGATGCAATGCATGTGGAGCAAGCTATCCAAGAATACTTTGATAGGGAAATAGCACGAACAATCGATCATCTTTATCATGATATTGTTGATGTAACCAATCGGTTTTGCAGTCCATCGTTTGTAAGACCCCCACTAGATAGCAAAAGAAGGGTACAACCTGATATCATTCACATGTTGACTAAGTCGAATTTAAATACGCAATATCCCGAGCTTGTTTTTGGGGTAGGTGATTACAAAACAGGAATATATAAAATGATGCAAGGCTTCGAAGAATTCAAGGCAGCTATTCGGAACCGAAGAAGATTGAGGCTGAATTCAATTGAGAACTTCTTTCCAGATAGGGAGTGGTCGCCTAGGGTATTATTTGCCTTGCTTCTAAGCAAATATATCTACGAAGCTTTTCTCTGTGGAACCGACAGGATTTTTATTTCAGACCACCAAACATTCTCAGGATTTTTCGAGTATGAGATAGTGGATGGGGAAATGATTATAGATTACTATATCATTAACGATCCAGAAACAGTGAAAGATGGTATTACTTTGAGGTCAGCTATAGCGGGATTTTTTTATAGAAGTGTTGGTGACGCAGCTGATACAATGGCCAGGTTGATGGAAATTTTTAGTGTTGCTAGCAACGTCGAGACGAAAAGTATTAAAGAACTGGATCCGTTCTTTAACGTTCGTCCTAGAGATCCTTCTGGATCTTCGAAAGAATTGGCTGGACATGGATTTTCAGGCAGCTTAGACCCGGTAAAAGAAAACGACGACAGTGATAACTTTGATGCCATTGATGGCAACACATATTGCCGAGTTATATACGATTCTGCAGAATTTTATCCTGATTTGAAACTTCCATCGCCAGTTTTTGTCAAATTATACTACTACTCTAGTCGCTTGTGGGAAAAAAATAGTTTTATGTATTTGGAAATACCGGAGAAAGAGGGGTACTATGGCATGTTTTTCAACGAGCTTTTAATTAATGAAAGAATTGCTAAGTCAGAATTCGCCTCCAATTTTCCAAAACTCTTTGTTTCTGGTTATTGGAATGGGCTTTCCGATCATCCGATGCATATATTTGAATATCTAGGGAAGGAAGTCCCAGAAGAAAAGTGGAATAAGAAAGAGGTGTACAGAGTTATCAAGTCAAGACTCGAAGAGCTTCATCTGATAGGAATCTCGCATAATGATGTTCGGCCGGCCAACATACATGTGTCAGTTTCAGGTAAGATTTCTTTGATAGATTTCGGATTATCGGACTGCACAAATAATGAAGAACACAAGAAGAATGATCTTGAGACTCTTGACTATATATTGAGACCGAATGCTTCTAATGAAAGTGAAAATGAAGTTATGTTTGCTGATAGAGCAGACGAAGATGACAAATATGGAAATGGTAGTAATTCTTCTGGTGAAGAAATATTTGACGAAGGAAGTTCAGAAACTTACGGTACCAGGACAACGGTAGAATATGTTGCCTCAAAATCACAAAGGTGATACATACCTACAATGTGTTTTTTTATCGTATTCATTTGAATCTTGAAATTTGTCAGGTATTATTGGAGCAAAGATTCGACAAAATTGTTGTGTTTGTTTTTCCTTCTCTCAGTATAGGCATTCACCCGCCTGGAGCTTGTCTAATGTCTTACGGCTCTCACTCTCATCTTTCAACTCCCTAGCACTTCCACAATTTTTTTGTTAACTATTTATTAGCAAGAAATGACTTAATACATAACTTGCTTGCATCAAACTCGTAATTGCTGGTCTATGAGTTGAGTGGGATACTTGTATCAGAATGGAAAGGCTAGAGCGATATCACCACCCCAATTACATTCTTGACCCTAGAAATTTTTCAAAATTTGCGGCACCACCAGCCTCTAATAATTGCTAGAATAACCCCACCCCCTCAAACAAGCTTTGAAAATGTAACGTCAATTAAAACAATACCGGGAACCACACATAATGAACGAATTTCCCGCTTTGTCATAGTACTTTATTTATTTACTCCCATGAGGATTGTTGAAATAGCTTATCCAATTTGGCTGTTTTAAGTCTTCCATTATGCCACAATCATACCCTTGAATGACTGCTTGAAGTAGCCACACCAAGAATCTATTTAATTCTAAAAGATGGGGATATTAAAGCCACCATTTTGTTAGTAGCCAAATTCTGGGTGAACAAACATAACTATAGTTACTTTCTTTTTACAGAAAAAATACTTAGATTAGGGAAGAATCTTCAGCTTTGATGGAGGATAATAGGTCCTAAAATATGGAGACGGTTGCTTTGGCTCATAATGAAACTAGATAAAAGTTTATTTAAATACATATATAAAGTTGTACAAAGCTTACATATAATGTGTCAAATGCACAGAGTTAAATTAGAATCATAACTTGTAATATTATCTTTAGTTTCAAATTGTCGGAGGATTGAACGCATGTGGCAGAATTCCTTTTCGATAGTTGCAATTTCGGAATCTCGGAAAATCAGAATATTTCTTTCGGGAATAATGTGATATGCCAATTAGGACGTAAGCGTATTTCTCGGAGATAAGAGGCTTGCATAGCCTATTGGAACCCTGACGGGCCAGGAACAAATGTCGCAAGCAGAAATCGGGAGTCGACTGTCCTATTCTGGATTAACACTTTTTACCCTGCATCTTTTACAAAAATGGATACGCATGAATTACGTATTAGAGAAGTCGGGGGATTGTCTATTTTAGTGGACAAGGACAAAATAGTAAATCCTTTAGCGGAGAAATTTGCAAATAAACATCTACCACGTCTTATCGAAAGTAGCGAAATCCGCAGTACTATGTTGTCGGAAATTAGAAGTTGCTACCGGGAACATTCCAAGAAGCATTATTTATTGAAGCAGATAATTGCTGTTACAGATGACTCCGAGGTACCAGGAGTCAAAGAATCTAAGCAAAATGTTTTCAAGCTTTGCTTCAATTATGTCTCAAAGTCGTACATTAATCATCATCTTAGATCGGAACACAGGGTCAACTGCAACGCTTCAGAACAACCGGATATGTAATCCCCAACAAAAAGTGCGCCTTTTTCTTTATATCGCGAAAAAGAATACAGGAAGTGCTATGAACCAATTTTTCGGAAGACGCTGGGAGAATTATAAACCATGATGCAACTCAACCGATTAGAGTATATATGAACCTACACGATTCAACTAAGTTAAACTCGTCTTTTATCTTTAAATTCTCAGAGATACAAGCGGGCCATAGACCAACAGTTGCCTTCAACAGCTATGAAGAAAGCCAACAGTAGCGAATAAGACAATAGTATTGTTGAAGTACAGCAATTAATCTCTGAACGATGGCATGATATCTTCCACCTTCCCACCTCTCTCAGGATAGATAAGCTGACACAGGAGAGGGTTTTGCGATGTAGCATCTAGTGTATAGTGTTTAGTGCAACAATAATGTTAATACTTTTGACTTCAGTAAATCACTATACTAACATCAAATCTATACCAAATATTTTTGATTACAGTTTGGCAGATGGTATTCGCTATAGATTTATTTTCTATATCAAACTCGAATAGAAATAATTTAGAGTTTGCAATTTTAACATGCTTAATAACGAGTGGTGCAGTTGGGCATGTTTTAAATTATTCCTGGACAAGTAACAATGTCTCATAGCCTGAACACAGTATATAGCCAGAAATTGCTTGCTATGGTTGTCAATATGTGGAGGGCTAGTATTAAGAACGAATGATGCTCCGAAGTATCATCATGCATTTCTAACGAGGCTGAAGTCCATTGTACAGTGGAAAACGAGCCAAAAGAATAAAAAGAAATAATAAACATGCACCCACAACCGACGTTCGCCCCAATCAATGTCCACCTTCTTCCGGTATAGTCGAGAGAGACAATACATAAAGATTGCGCGATTAAAGCTATCATAGAATTGATTATCTGATACAAAAGAGTCCTTCCAGTGGACAATCCTATCTGGGCAAAAATACTAGGGGCATAATACTGTATCGCAGATAGACCTGTCATTTGAACTGAATCTTGATGGTACAGCACAAAAAGATTCTTCTCAAGGTCGATGGTACCAAGAACAGACTGGTCCACACTCTTCTGGCCATGCATTTTATCAAATTCTATTGTCGCTTTAATTTTCGCAAATTCTTCTTCAACACCTTGTGTGTTTCCAGGTGCATATAGTTTCCCCAAAACTCTCAGCCTTTTCATCTTTGTTGTACTCTAATAACCATCTAGGCAGTTTAGGGAAGAGCAAGATTAAGCTTCCTAACAATAGTGCTGGAAACTATTTGGAGTTCAGAGGATCCCGCCATCGCCTTTTATCTGAAAATCCTATGTAGCATCCATACCCTATCCATGCAGCTACTAACGGATCATTTCCCAAGGAGAATTGTTGGAGACTTGTGCTCTTCATCTATGCTTTGAATGTACTAATTCGGCCTGATACAAAGGAATAATCATAGTGTACATCCCCACACCAACTCCCGCAAAAAATCTCCCTGCAAACAAGAACTTGATGAGAAAGCTGAAGAGCAATTGAATATAATCCACCTTTATAAAATAATACATGGAGATATAAGCCCAAGAAATAATTTACATTCTCATGGAAAGGTATATTTTGTTGATTTCGGATACTCAGAATACACGGAAGATAACTTAGATTCCAATCCAGTGAGTGCTAGGCCTGAGAGGATCAAGAGTGAACACAGACAGTTGTGCAGTATATTTGGCCAGCCAACTCCAAAGGACTATGCATAATCAGATGAGCAAATTATGGGTTGATAGCTATATATAAGATACAAAGAGAACAAAAATGTTTTTAAAGCTATGTAGTCAGTCGTAAGCATAATCATCGGAAGAGTGCGAGATAGGTCGGCAAACTATTTGCTGCAACCTGCCATATGCGAATGCGAGCTCCAAATAATTTAACTAGAGAAAGTACATCACATTTCATTACACTAAGAGAGCCGTTGCAAATCGCAATATAATTGAAAAGATATAAGTCTACTAGTTTAGCTAGCTTTGCTAGCTCACTAAGAAGCTGATATTCGACAAACTCGGTCTTCGATTTAGAGGATTTGCTTTAAAAAGTCATGAGGTACTTTCTGACTATGATTTCGATAGATACTCATCTATGTCCTATAATTGGCTAAAGGACTCAATAATAGTATATACTGGAGTTTACTTTGAGAGTTCTGGACTAAATTATTCAATGATATAGCGAAACCATTTCACTTTCTGTTTAGGGTACTTGTTAAGAGAAAATTATCCAATAAATTGACCTTATTGCAATAGAAGCTTGGCTTGGGAAGTTGGCATAAAATTGTTTGCATTCAATGGAACTTAGTAAGCCCAAGGAATCATTAATAAAGCGTAAGTAAATTATTACTCTATACTTGTAAAGCATTATAACTGAAGATATTTACATGGAGTTTTAACCATCAGCAACTTGAAGCTCGATAAGCATAAGAAAAATTGGTTTGTGTGGATTACTTGATACTTGAAGAAAATATTCAAGGAGTATCAAATTCGCTTATAGATATCTGTTATCTATGCAATTCTTTTCGAAATGATATCTTCCTTTGTTGTTCTTGTATCGGATGTTTGTATCTCATCTTGTCAAACCATTTCATCAGAAGAGCTATTGTCACTTACATATTTGTCTTGGTATGTGTCCCAAATATGTGATAAAGAGATTGAAAGTCATTCTGTTTATGCTCTACGTTATTTTAGCAGCCGATAGACCAAATTCTATTAAAGAAGTTTTCCCAGAGACAGATACATGAATGTTGTCCAGCCGAACATCATTGGGCGAAAAATATTTCACGTTCTTTTCGATCTCGAGTTTATTTTTTATCTTGGATATTATTTTAAATATATTTTTGATTCTAATATTTCTTTATCTAGGTTTGTTGCGTAGATGGAGAGAATGGTCATTTTAGTGAACAACAACAATTAATTATTGTTTTTAATTATTTAAATGCTTCTTTAGCATATTATATAAAAAAATACATTTAGTAAACTAATGAATATTACATAATTTTACATTTTAAAATTCCGATTATTAAAATTAATTCCTAACAGGTGAAGTTCCTCGAGTCTAAATTTGATAACTTCATATACATTATCCATATTCCACTCTTCTATTGGTATTCATTTCCCTAGAGATTCGACTATACGCATCGGATAACCAGAAATATCATTCCAATAATCAGAAACAAGGAGCTTAGGAACATTAGAGGCAAATTGTGATTTCACAATTTTTTCATTAATTGCAAGTTCATTGAAGAACATACCATAATAACCCGCTTTTTCAGATATAGCTAGGCACATCAAATCATTCTCTTCCCATAGTCGGCTAAAGTAATAATACAATTCGACAATACGTGTTACCTAGATATTTTCTTAAAATTAATGAAAATACCATTCTAGGCAATCATTCCTTATCTTCAAATAATTTCTCAATTGAATGCAGCCTCAACCTTCTTAGATTCAGTAAATTCGGCATGACTCTCTATAGTCGTCTTCAATTCTTCAAATCTTATGTCAATTCATAGCAATTTCATTTTCCATATCTAAATAAATATAAAAATATCCTAATTTTTTTGCTTTTCCCTTTTTGTAATCACCTATTCCAAAACCGATTTCGCGATATTGCATGCCCAATTCCGACTTATTTATCATATGAACGATATCAGCTTGTATTATTGTTCGCTGACTCAATGGGGGTCTTACGATTGATGTTGAGGTGTAGGGATGCATCCAAAATAGTTGGCGAGTATCCAAAAAGACCCTTGTGTTTTGTTCATTTCTATTTTGTACTCTAGAGTATAATTCCGGGACTATTCTGATGCATTGATCTTCGGGGTCATCATATGTGATATCCTTACTCTCTACGCCAGAGAAGGTGGTTTATGTTTTCGTTGTTCATCCCTCGTTTATTAGTCTGTGTTACCCTACCTTTGATCATTACACGTAACGAAAAAACTTACACACCAACTTTTGCAACGCTGTAAAGTTTTTCAACACATACATATATAGTTAATATCTGTATACTTGTGTTCTCTTACATTCTTGAGTCCTTAAAGTCTACCTTTTCACCTTTTAAGGTAACTTTTAACCTCCACGATAGCGAGTAATCTTCGATGTTTCCATTTGTCAACCACGATTATCCGGGTGTGAATCGAATATATCGTTAGATTGATTTGATACTTTGGTGTTGATTCCTCTCCGACCAACAGTATTTTTGCACGGATATTAATCTCAAAATATATTAGCGGTGCTATCTATTCACATATAGAATTGAATAGGTTCCTTAAAAATCTCTCTGTATGTATCTTCATCAGTGGATACACATCTGTAAGGTTATAATATTGTTTAAATCAAACTCCAAGCAATTTAGTTATTATATCTCTCTGATTTAATAGTCCCATGGAGTAATCGAATTCTCTAAATAAACAAACAACTATTTGCACATTGGAACAATTATCACCGTGTTGCGTGTTATAATAATAATTGACAAATAGCATAACAAAACTAATTGATCGGTTGCAGAGTAGCCCCTCCAAAGGATTAATGGGTTATAGTATGTCCACCTTCTTCATTTTCTCTCCGTCTAAACGACCTGTACAAAGAACTTATGAAAAAATAGTATTCTGTAATAGCTCTCACAATTGAGCTAGTACAGGTTTACGATCTTCGCAGATTACAGCCATTTTCTACAAATTGAAAATACACCGGCATTATATTGAAAAGATAGTTAATAGCATATATAATATATATTCATCTCGATTAATCGTACCTAGAAAAAGTTGTCAATCTTCACATTCTTTTGAGGCTTCAAATTTGCACTTTTGACATCTCCTTGAGTGACCATTACTGAAAACTCATCATCTTCTAAGTTACAACATGTATTATGATTGTAAAAAGCACTCTCTGCATCATGACATTGCATGTTGCCATACCAAACATGTACGGTATAATCATCAGATTCATTCAGTACGTACAAGCTTTTCTGGTTGCCTCCAGTCATTCCGTAGCATGTATTTAAATCTAACTGGATATTTCCTGACAGGTCACCTCCGCAATCTTGACCGTGGTATGAGAAAATCTCTGCACCTTCTGCTAATAAGATGTTAGCTAAAACTAATAAGCTGATGTTGAAAATCATATCTAATTCTTGTTGAATTAAGTTAATTGATTGATTTATTCAAAGATCTGCTTACGTTTTTATACTTCGAAGGCTGCTAAAAATAAGTTCAATAGAAGTTGCAAGGTATTTGTTCAACTATAGGATTATGGAATATTTCCCTCTGAACAAATCAAGATTACTAAAAATACTTCTTTAATCTGCGGAGTACTGATACGACCAGTACTGATACGAGCCGCACTATGCAGGGGATAACAAAATATACTCCCTATAGAGAATAGCAACAATCACGTGGTTACATTCTTTGACTTTAGGAGATATCTAAAAATAACATTGAATACTACTATTGTTATTCGAACGATCACATATATCTAGGATTTACCATAATACACTAAGTATCAGAATAGAAATGATACTCTGAGGATGTTTAGATTTGAATAGTTGTTACTTTTTTTAATGCTAGAAGTCCGTGCAGAAATATTGTGACCGTTGTCACTTTGTTTCCGCGAAAGTTCATGAAAGAATGATCCAAAATTTTATTGAACTATGATTAGAAAAAAAACATGAATGTGGTATGTGGCCTTCGAAAATGTGATTCGAATTATTTTTTGCCTCTTAATATACTGAGACTATCAGAAATCACATAGAGACATCCAAAAATATAAGTCACCAGGGATGGCTTATCATCTTTTTTCCTCTTCCATGCCTAAGTTAAAAAGTCCGAGCAATTTGCTGGATTTCGCGCAAATTCCCAATGTAGCAAAGTATTCTAATACAATACAGTGGGATCTAACAAAATATCATGTGACTTGTGATCCAAACTAGCAGTTAATTGCGATCGTCCATATCTAACATTCCTTACCGGTTATCTCTTTTGGGATTTAAATATGAGAGGGGTAGTAGCGATACTAATCGATATATACATAATGATTATGCCGGTAATGTTGAAGTATAATATGATATTCTATTAAAAGATTGGGGCACAAGATGACTGAATTAGGGCCACGAAGTAAAGAAAATTCGATCGATGAAATGAGTATTCCCGGTACCGTACACTTAGTTGATGTTGAAGGGTATTTGGACGTAAAGAAAGATAAAAACTCAGGAAATATAATTCTTCAACCGCAACCATCAAGTAATCCAAACGACCCCCTCAGATGGAGTAAGTCTAAAAAGCATCAACAATTTTGGTTATTATGGATCTGGTCATTCATCCTTGCAGTCGCAGTGAACTTTTGGGGACCATTATTTGGCTTGTGGGTGGTTGAATTAAACTGTAATTTAACAGAGCTAAATATTTTTGCTGCACTTTTGTTTTTATTTTTAGGCATTGGCTGTGTCTTCTTGCAGCCGACGGCAATGAAATTAGGAAGAAGGTTTGTATATTTAAGTTGTACAATCATTATGATAGTGGCCAATACAATCGGGTCACAAGCAAAATCAATTCAAGTTCTATACATAACGAATATATTAGCTGGGTTCGCTGGTGCTCCAATCGATTCTTTAGTTGAAATATCCACTACCGATGTATTTTTCCAACATGAACGTGCAGAATACCTATCATGGTTTATTTTTGTCCTATATGCAGGTTCCGATTTGGGCCCAGTTGCAAGTGGATTTATTGTTGAAACCATGAATTGGAAATGGTGCTATTACTTTCTAGTCATTTTTTCTTTTGTATTACTTATTATTCAACTGTTATTTATGGAAGATACCACCTTTGAAAGATTGGGCAATGATTTAGAAACTGACATATTATCACAGATGAAATCCAGAGAGACCTTTCTTTCAATACCTGGTCATGCTGAAATACCAGCTGAAGTTAGCAGTAAACATAACTATCTTCCTTTCATTCAAGATGTCAACTCTAGCATAAAAGATTGTTCTGATTCTATTGATTATTCCATTCCATTAAGAACTTATTGGCAGAGAATGAAACTTTTTGAGCTTGAATACAATGATTCAAGACCATGGATAACAATATTTTATAAACCATTTTTTCTAATTTCTTTCCCAGCAATTATATGGGGTGGAATGATTTATGGATGTCAGATGATGTGGCTATCTTTATTAGGGACAACTCAATCACAAATTTATTCAAGCTTTCCGTATAATTTCTCCGCTGCTAATGTAGGTTTAACAAATTTGGGAGCATTAGTTGGTTCAATTGTTGGTATGTTCTATGGTGGAAAACTTGTAGATTATGTCACTATTAGATTGGCATTAAAAAATAATGGTATTTTAGAACCAGAATTCAGATTATGGACCATGGTTTTTCCTACGATATTCAATGCAGCTGGTCTTCTTGCATATGGCTTAGGATCATACTATCACGCACACTGGACGATATCTGTAATCCTAGGCCAAGGATTAATTGGATTTGCAATGAGCTCATCAGGAGCTATTTGTATAACATATTCGATTGACAGCTACCCAAAGTTGGCTAGTGAAAGTTTAGTATTGATGTTGTTTATTAGAAATTGCATCGGTTGCGGTTTTACTTTTGCTATTCAGCCATGGTTGGATCGATGCGGACTAAGTCTCGTTACATGGTTGATGTTCATGCTTTCCCTAGTTGTAAATGGTAGTTTTATCGTTATGATAAAATGGGGCAAGGATTTCAGAAAAATAACAGCAGATAGATATTATAGATATTCAAAAGAGTAATCAGATATTTTCGAAGAATAGCGACAACAAAAGTTGTGTTTCTTTCTACTTATTGCTAAGGAAAACATTTATAGCGTAGAGAATAAGGCTTTGAGTCATATATTTACTTATTTATACGTAGTTTTATTGATATACATCATATTCTATGCTTTCGTTTATCGCTTATAGAGTGTATGAATGTAAAAATCACAGTACTATTAGATATTTCAAAATAAAATACGCCGTTTAGTCTAATCTTTTTATACATTCTTTCGTCCTATGATTATTTTCCTAGAAAATTCGATGGATGCTATGATTCATCAAAGAGAAAATAATCTACCAACAATTGATCAAAATTCACAACACGAACATTATTTGGGTTAATTATATAACGAGGGTTGGACATGTTGACTATGCCTTGAGAGATAAAATCTTACTTGGATATAGGTCAAATCCAGTGTTATTTAAAATACATGGTGATGTTTTATTTATAAGATTCATTTATTAATTTTGAACGGATCAAATTATGAAAGTATATATCTAAATTTAAATCTTAGTTATAAATGAGAATGATTATTAACTAAATAAAGATCTATCATTATAATATTGAATAATATCAAAGAAACTTTTCTGGTAAAAACTTTCTTGAGTTGTTCTATTCACCACTTGTCATCCAAATTGTTGCTCGGAATCACCAAATTCCCAATTATCTGCAAATGACCAAGGTAAAGGCTCTATAATATGCACTTTTTCATAATGCATTGCATGTAAAATAGACTCAAATATGATTTATAATGAATCGATCTATTAATATCGAATAATTGATCGTCAAGTTCCTTCTCTCTCTCCATTCGGCAAAACTCCGAACTCACCTATCAATATAGGAGAATTAAATGTAATCCAAATATACTTCACGCAATATGACTATTATTATATCCAATAAGAAATGTATTTTGCCAACTGCAACATTTATCGTTTTGAATAATTTGATCTTGCTCTCAACCTTGGACCATTTAAATAAAAAAACACTGGAATCGAAATCATGGAGAGCGAAATGAACCCCAATATACTAGACACCCATCCAACAGGAAATTGTTTTGTGGCTAAATTATCATACAATGGTTTACCAAAAAGAGGAAATGCCCCTCCAAATAAAGATCTGACCAAACCATTGCTGGAAAACACACTGGCAACGTAATGTGGAAATGACATTCCCAAATAATTGAATAACGATTGAAAATTTAAAAATCCAGAAGCTCCAAAGATTGCAGCCCCCAACAACGAAACAATTCAATGGACATCCTTTTAAGAAGACCATCCAAATATAAATATACCTATGGGCATTAAAACGGAACCTAATATTGTACTAGGTAAGTAGACTTCAGGGTAAACCCTTCATTTCTTAGTAGCGGTGATGTAAAACTTCTAAAAATCAAGACAAAATAAACTGCAGCACCTAATAATACACCAACAACTATACTTAGATATGCCATACCCATAGGAATTAGCTCCCAATTCCTTAATCCAATAAATACAATTGGAAAAGCTTCGAACCACAAGTACATAACTGCATATACTAATCCAATAAAGATGTCGATCAACAAAACCAGGTTCTAGAAGCGTTATTTGAATGGGTCTTCATAATATACCTATAATTAGCTCCCATTGAAATGTTCTGGCATCTGGTCACTTTTTTTAACCTTTGTGCTCTTCTATAAAGAACTGTCTTTCCATAGGATTCGGGTAAGAAGAAAAAAAAGGTATAAAACAAACCCCTGACGAAATTGCTAGAAACCAGAAGTTCCATTGCCAACTACCTTTAACAGTTAAAATACTACCAAAGAACGGTCCAGTTGATGGCCCACAAAAGGAAGTAATACCCCAAATACCTAGTCCAACTGGCATGTATGGTAATTTGAAAACATCAGTATATGAAGCTCCTCCTGTAGCTAATATAGGAGATGCAAAAATTCCGGCAAAAAATCGAAGAATACAAAGGGATGCAATATCCTTCAAATTTGCTATTATTATTTGTAAAATAAAGAAGATAGAAAGTGTTATAATATAAATGACTGTTCTTCCAATAGTAGCGTTCTCTGATAATGGGCTAAAAAGCATTGGCCCTATACCATAACCAATCACGAATAAAGACATTGGTAATGTAGCAACAGTGTGACTGCATTTTAAGTCAGTCATTAATTCTTCGATCCCTGGTGTATACAATGCAGAACTCATATACACTGAAATTGTAAAAAATCCAATTAAAAACGTGAATATTATTTTCTGGCTAATTGACCAATTTAGTGGATTTTCAGGATCGTTTTCATCAATCCAGTCTATAATTAAGTTATCGAGATGCATTTCAGCATCAATATCATCATTATCTCCAAAAAATTCACTTTATCGCTTTTTATTGTCGACAGCCACTTTAATTTGTTTGAGTATTTTGCAGGAATTATATAGTTAGCCTTTTCTTCTTCGTAGGTAAAGTACTGATGACCCGAGAAATGATAAACTAATTGCCAAAAAAGCTTGAACGTATTAGATTGAATATCATCATGAAATCTACCGTAAGTTGTTATTCAATAGACTTTCTAACTCAAAACTAGCTTTTTTATAGTTTTAAGCCTTCTCGAAAATGGCTGCGAAGAAGAAAATTGTTTTGATTGCTTAGTAAACCTAGTAAACGATGCAGGATTGCGGCATAAAACCTTGAAACATTACAAAATTCCACCACTAACAAATGGCATTTAAAAGACATTTTCTTTTATAGTCGTAATAGTGGAATGTTGGCAAGAGTTTAAAAGGTTTAGCTGTGTGATAACTCTTAAGTTCATAGCTTTTCTTCTTCCGAGAGTTCTGCTTCTAGCCTTTATCATTAATCTCCGAAAGTATTTCCCTACTTGCAAATATTTTCAAGCGGCTATTCCTCTCCGATTTGATACGAATAACGGAATGCTACGCATATCAATTATTGCGATACACTCATTAATAAGCAAACACAATTTTAGGTCGAAACCACATAAGGCGCTCTCAGTTTCTCTGTGACCTTTCTTATAGCAATGATTGATTGATATTGAACGCTTCTTGGTCAATTGACCTTCGGCATTTAGTCGTACCTAAAGAATTATCCAAAAGAACTGGACAATAATCCGAAGCAATAGCTTAATCTTATCATAGAGGGATGGCATTAGGTTCTTCCATAGGTGGAGCTGTTTGGACTAACACTCGTACCCAAAAAGTTTTGAATAATTTCGGAAAGCAAATATAGATACCAGTTTGGCCAAAGAAGCATATTCATCGCCTTTGAAATTTATTGTTGATTATAAATGGGATACCATAGAGCGAATTCTATACTCAGAAAATCTTCTGTATTGTTGGTTTAGTTTTATGTTTTCCATTGCTATTCAATACGTTTTTGCTAAGGGATCATAAGCTCCAAAGTATCCAATCTTTGGAAACTAACGAGCAGAAATGTGGCGAGCAAAACGTTGTTGTGAATAAAGATGATAATAATATCATTTTCAAAAAAAATGAAGGCTTTTTTAAGCGATCTTAGGAATGAAGGTGATTGAAATACAAATATCAATTACTTCTTTTTGAATAGTCCGTATTATGGTGATTTAAATATAGGAAAATAGCTTCCGAACTATAGCATAATTAATATGCCATGAAGTAATTCTTCAACTTTTATGCTGAAATTGTTTTCTTTTGGATACAGAATTAATGTACTGTTTAATTCCACCATCTAAGTATTTCAATTTGGACTGTTCAATGGTATATATTTCCCTTGCAACCTGAGATATAAAGTATTCGTCATGCGAAGAGATCACCAAGGCACCCGTATAGTTCAGTAGTGCCCCAATTAACGAATCTACTGATAATATATCTAAATGGTTAGTTGGTTCATCGAGGAAAAGAACATGAGGAACAGAATCAAATAAACAGAGGGCAAAAGCGACACGAGCAAGTTCACCGCCGCTAAGGACAGCTAAAGTGCTAATAGCAATATTACCTCTGATCCCAAATACACCTAAATGTGCACGGGCGTCACTTTCTTTCTTTTTGGGAGATTTGTTTAGCAAAAGTGAAACTGGAGTGGTCCCAGGTGTACAAGAATTCAAGACTTCTTCTGCATTATGTTGAGAGAAGAGACTAATCTTAGCGTTTCCGGGCAATTGTACTACACCCGAGGTCGGCAATAAGTTACCAGTAAGAATTTTCATTAGTGTAGACTTACCATAACCATTAGCTCCAAGAATTGCAATGCGTGCTCTTTGAGAAATTCCTAGGGAAACTTTAGTTAGAATTAATCTTTGACGATTATTATATCGAAACGAAACATCATCTAATTTTATCAAGTCGCCTTGGTACCTTAGGGGCGAAGGATCTCCAATCCGCCATTTCTGGGTTACTTCTTTTGCCTCTACTTCAACATTATCTCTGATAGCTTCATGGTAACCCGGGCGATCTCTATTTAACTTGAATCTATGACCCTTACTATTTACTTCCATCCCCAAACGATCCATTTTTTTCTTTTTCGAAGCAATGACAGCCAATTTTTTGTCGTCTCCATTCTTACGAGCATTGACGGCACCTTTTTCCACACTTTTTTGGGCTGCTGTCTTCTTTTTGTCGATGGCGCTGGCCATGGTTTTTAGATGCGCTTGTCGTTCCTTGAAGTTTTCTAAATATTCATCGTAATTCCCTTTATAATATGTTAGTGATTTATTCTTTAATACGATAACTTCATCAATTGTTGCATTGAGGAAAGCCCTGTCATGAGACACTAATAATATCGTAGTGTTATCTAAACCATTGAGGTACTTTTTTAACCAAAGAATAGCTGGCAAATCTAAATGGTTTGTGGGCTCATCTAATAGTAAAACATCAGGCTTTATAAGCAAAGCTGAGGCCAATGAAACCCTAATTCTCCAGCCACCAGAAATATCTTTCAAGCGGGTATCTTGCATTTCATTAGTAAATCCGAGACCCGATAAAATCACACGGACATTACTGTTGATAACTTCCTCGTTATCATATATTGCTAATTTTTCATTTATTTCATTTAAAAGGTCTTGAGCCATCTCCACTGATTTGATCTTATCGGAAGCGTTAGGTTCCTCCAAAGTTAATTTTTCGATCTGACGTAATTCATCCTCCTTATTGTTCAATATCTTCCGTGCAACTGCCCCTCGTGTCCCACTTCGTTCCATAGCAGTCTTTTGTGCACCCTCAAACTCTCTTTTTTGATTATCAAGTTGAATTTTGTGAAAACATTGAGCAATTTCGATATCATCACCAGACCCTAAGGCCTCTTCAAGAATCTTAGCACATTGCACAAGATTCGTCCTTTCTTTATCAGAATTTATAACTGCTTGGATAACACTAAGTTCTAATTCGAGACCACTTAATAATTGTTCCACATACAAACTTCTAATATTAGAGGGAAATCCTGTAATTGTTTTGTGTCCAATGCATTTTAATAGAGTTGTTTTTCCTGTACCATTGCCTCCAACTAACCCGTAATGCATGCCACTAAACAATTGCAAATCCGTATCGACTATTAAGTCTCTGTCGCCTACTGATATATTCACTTGTTTAAGATCAACGTCATTAGAGAGGGTCTCCAACGTATCGCTATGAAATCTTGAAACTTGACTAGTTGCAACAATATTATTCTTTTTAGCACATTTAGAACCTTTCAGGTTCTTTGGTCTCTTAGGCATTATACCTCTTCTACTCTATTAAAAACGAATGCCTCATGTCAATATTTTTAGTTCTACACTTCTTATACTCCGAAACATCTCTCACATTATTCCCAATTTAGAATTATGATTCATTCTATATCATGGTCACATGAACATATGTGTTGAAATCAAAATTGGTACTACGACTTTAGAGTGGACTTTCAAGCATAGTACGGTGTCTCCAAGTTAACATTGACACAAGTTCTCATATTGAGCAGAAATAGAATCTCACTTTAATTAGTATCAAGGGATAAAATCTAGGTCTCACAATATTGACAATTGAACTCATTCATATAGCATTACGGACTTTTATTGTAAGCCTCACGAGATCTCACATCCAAATGAAAGTAGACATTATAACGGAGGAAGTGCATAGTTCAAAATAAATGTAGACTTATTGAAGACATATTTGTTTCAATTCATAGTCCTGTCTTTAAAAGAAAATAAGTTCGATTTCAAGGGAATAATTTAAAATTATTATACAAGGCAATTATATAGATTTTATTATATCTAAGGATATAATTCTAATGAGTAGTTATGTACGATTTCAAAGACTTGTTTTAAACTAACAGATTTATAAAGCCAACTTAATGTAATAAATGCTATAAGCAAAGGAAAAAAGTGTAATTGCAAGTCTTATTCGTCCACGAAGTTTTTCACTCTTTTCAAATTTCGTTCTTGCAATAATTGGATCCAATGGCACGGCTGTACCGTATTTTTTCCAGTTATCGTTTTTGTTGAAGATATTTTCATTGTAATATTGCTTTACATCTTCATCACTCGTTTTTTTTGCTGCAATAAGAATTGCATCATTTCCACGAATCTCATCCTCATCTATATCTTTATATTTTGTATTCAATTTTCTCCTGATGTCGGCCATATTTTTCTCATACATCTTGTCTAAAAAAGCGGCGCTTCTCAGGAATCCAACTCCGAATGGAACACATTTTTTTCCCTCCTGAAATATATTAGAAGAAATATCATTCCAAATTGCAATTTGCCCGAATGTATACAACTCCTTAAACGGCCGCCTCTTAATAGACTCCATCATCAAAAATTCGGTGAGTTTTCTCAGACTAAAGTAGGAATAGAAATTTATGGATACAGATAATAAGATACATCCAAACGTAAATTCCCAAGACATTATACTTGGACTGATTTTAATAAAATCATAATATGTTAGGGCAAACTCGGCCAGAATTAGAGTCAAAAAAGCAGGAATGACTACCTTAAGTATATTATTAAATGTTTCCCAATGTGACATATTTTGATTCTGGTGGATAAAAGCTTTTTCGTCAAATTTCAAATAAGATTTAGAGATATCTGCAAGTAGTGTACTTGGTTATGTCGCTCACTCTAAAAAATAAAAAAAGTATATATAAAGAAGTAATCTTAGTAGAGTCAAAATAAATAAGCATGTTTACATTAAAATATGTATTGTCTAATATTGATATGACTCCGTTAATGATTTTCATGGGTTTGATGGCATTAGCCGAGATACAAAGAGGCCGATGTGTATCGCTAATACTTTATCTATGCGTTATTGTCCTGGAACAGGCTGATCACTTCACAAGCCTAATTAATGATACAAATGAAACAGTTGAAAATTTTTTGATTATGAAAGTAATTGAGAAGAGGCCCTTTAAATATCAAGACGAATCACTTCTTTATATTAGTACGTGGCAAGAAATTATAGCCGATATAAACTTACAGGTGAGGACTAGATATAACAACAAGTATTATCACTTGGGAAACATTGAAGTTGCAAAGGACAGATTTTTTTATATCATGAATAAATTTTCACTTAGGACGACAAAGGAGTCCTTTATGGTTAACTTTACCGATTGGGAAAAGACCTTATTAATAGCCAGAAATATGTACGAAGAAGACTCGTGTAACGAAAAGATTTGTGACGAGAAGTATTGAAAATATAGTTGTGATTTATAAGAAAAGCTTTGAGGGTATATTATAAATGGTATTGATGATGATTATGAATTATGGACTAGATATCATATATTTCTAACAATGGATAATGTACAAGAGACGAAGCAAATATATGTCAACTTTATTACGGCTCAATTTATAGTATTAGTTTGAATCCACTTTCAATATAAATTTAAAGTGTTGGTTAATATAGTTAACCATTTAATGCCTGGTAGTATAATCAGTAAGCTCTATTACTGAAAGAATGCGTATTAGAACGGAAGGATGAATCTTAATGTAAATTATTATTGTTTTCGTTGCATCTGAGGAAATATCCCCAGTAGATAGTTTTTCAAGGATCCAACGAACTATTTTGAACTTAACCATTTATCAACGAAACCTAGGATTCTATTTATAAAACCTAGGCATTCAATTATGAGCTCAAATAAACAGTAGGATGAAAAACAAACAATGATCAACAGTCTTATTGCAAATTCCACACGACTACGAAATCTTTCATTATCTTCATACTTGGTTGTTTCGGTAATTGGATCCAATGGCACGGCTGTACCATATTTTTTCCAGTTATCATCTTTGTTGAAGATATTTTCATTGTAATACTGCTTTAAATCTTCGTCATACGTTTTTTTTGCTGCAATGAGAATTGCATCATTTCCACTGATCTCATCCTCATCCATGTCTTTATATATTGTATTTAATCGTCTCTTGATGTCGGCCATATTTCTCTTAAATGTTCGTTCTAAGAAAATAGTATTTCCCAGAAGCCCAATCCCAAACGGGATGCATTTTTTTCCCTCCTGTAAGATATTAGAAGAAATATCATTCCAAATTGCAATTTGCCCAAATGTATGCAATTCTTTAAACGGCCGCCTCTTAATAGACTCAATAACCAAAAGCTCGGTAAGTTTTCTCAAACTAAAGCCAGTATAGAATATTACGGATCCAATTAATAAGATAAGTCCAAATGTAAATTCACACTTTACTACACTTGGACTGATTTTAATAAAATCATAATATGCTAAGGAGACCTCGACCAGAATTAGAGTTAAAGAAGTTGGAATAACTACTATGAGTATATTATTAATTGTTTCCCAACGTGACATATTTTGATTTCGGAAGATAACCTTTTTACGTCAAATTTCAAATAGTATTCAAGTACTGGCGGATGCGATTATCAAAAGTAGTGCTAAAAGCACAACCTGATTTTATCGCTAAAATAGATGAAAAAGAAGTACTTCTTGTAAAATTGCCAAAAAATAAATAACCATGTTCACACTACAATATATATCTTCTAATATAGTCGCCAAGCCATTTATGGTTTTCGTAATGCTAGCGTTATTATTTTCGGCTTGGTGTGGCAGCTATTCAGAAGTGATGATGTATTTATGTGTAATTGTTACGGTACAAGCTGATCACTTCAAAATGTTGACAAATGATACAAATGAGACAATTGAACATTTTTTAGTTAGGAATGTAATTGAAAAGAGACCTTTTAAATATGCCGATGATTCGTTCTTATATGCCCATATTTGGCAAGGAATAATATCTGATATCAACTTATTAATAAGGGCCAAATATAACAATAAATATTATCACTTGGGGAAGATAGAAGTTGCAAAGGATAGATTTATTGGTATCATGAATAGCTTTTCACGTTCGCTTAGGACGAAAAACGACCCTTCAATAGTAAACTTTACCAATTGGGAAAAGACTTTATTAATAGCAAGAAATATATACGACGAAGACTCGTGTAATGAAAAGGTTTCTGACGAAAAGTATTGAAAATATAGTTGTACATTATATTATTGTGAAAAAAATAGGATTAGAATTACAAGTGATATTCATGAGGATTATGAGTTGCAGACTAGACTTCATCACGACGATAGAAAAGGCAAGAGAAGGCAAAGCAAATGTATTATTTTTTTTTGGAGATAAAAATATCTCCTTGAGTTATACAGCATTGAAAAAGCTTTTTCCTTTAATCTGAAGATAGACAATAATATATATATACCCATTCGTTATGCCATAAGGTAATTTTGCAAATATTATTTCATGTGCTTCCATGACTTCTATTAAAATCACCTATTAGTTTTGCTTATTATAGAATCTCAAATATAAAGATGAGTCAAATTATAATTTTGATTTTGTTTCAGCTGCAGGTTCTTCGTCATATAATCTGGTCAAGATATCGTTGAAGTATTTCGCCGCGATCACTCTTTTTATTTTGAAGGTAGGAGTAACTACGTTCCGTTCAACAGTCAATGGATTTATGTCAATATGAATATTATGCAACCTTTCAAATCCTTGAAGTTGTTTGCCCACAGAAGAGTTGATTTTTAGTAAAAACTTTTGCCTATTTTTAAATTTATTCATCTCTACTAACAATTGGGTAGTAGTTAAGTTAGACTTTTTGTATCCACAAAAATCACAAAGGAATTTCAATCCAGAATTGTAATCGACACCCGCAATACCCACCAAAAATGATTTTAGACGGTCCCCGTGAATGAATAACTGTGAAAGTATAGGGTTAAATGAGAGATATACATTCTCAACTTTTTCTGGGGATACATACTCACCTTGAGCAAGCTTAAAAAAATTCTTCACTCTATCAACTATAAATAACCTACCAGTATCACGATCAATCGTGGCAACATCACCAGTGTGGAACCATCCATCATTATCAAAGCATTCCTCCGTCGCAGCTTTATTTCGGAAATATCCGTGGAATACCATTGGCCCTCTGAATAATACTTCTCCCTTGTTTTCTTTAGCATAGTACCCCATTTCAGGAATTTCTTTTAGCTTGACTTCCTCTCCTATCCCAACGCTTCCACATGAACCTGGTTTACATTCATACGCCCCACCTTGTGTCGAGGCTCCATATGTCTCTGTTAAACCATATAGTTGCTTTATGCCAATGTTCAAAGACGCCCTCAAATAGCTAAGGGTTGAACCAGATATTGGTGCTGAAGCAGTCTGTGTCCATATCAAATTATCAAACCCAACAATCGATCTAAGATCTTTATAAGGAGCATAGTTATCGTATTCTTTATGAAGACCTTTTGATCCATCGAACTCACAATGCTTCTTCAATTTATAAGATATAATTTTATTTACCGACGAAGCAATATCCGGAGTTGAACTGGATACAGCTGCTTTAATCACTGACTCCATCTTTGTTAATATACGTGGAACTAATGATAAGTAAGTTGGTTTAAAAAGACGCAAATCTTCAATTAAGTTATCAAAAGAATTCACAGGTGCCTTGCTGGCGATGGTTAACTGCGGGAATCCTAAATAATAGCCAGTAGTTAATGCAAACCCCGTGGTTCCTCTTTCATAAATGTGTGTTAGCGGTAAAAATATAAAGGCTCTTCCAGGGTTGATTTGCGGCATTGCGCTAGCTAGGAATGTAATAGAGGTTGCAGCATTCTCATGAGTTAACACTACTCCCTTAGGTTTGGACCCAGTTGTCCCCGATGTGAAGGCAATGGTGTTCAAAGTATTACCAGTGGGAGGTAATTCCCTAATCCGGGAAGATTTTCCCAACTTCTCTACTTGATCAAAATCATAAAGAGTGATATTTGTAGCTCTGGCCAATTCCATCAAAGATTGATCTTCATCTTTAAATCTTGAGTTGGCACAAGTATGAAATAATGGATCCATAGAAACTATTGTAATAAGATCATCTAATAAATCGGGAAAATCTCTTTTCATGTTTATGATTCTTTTCACTTTCTCTTTAGAGCAAATTAATATAGGACTCCTAGTTAGATCCAAAATGTATCTGGTAGCATCTGGTCCGAGTGTGTCGTACAACGAGGTATTACCAAACGAGTACGCAGCACATGCTAAATCACTCAACACCCATTCTAACCGATTCGCAGAAAATATTGAAACAATAAAAGACCAGTTTTCGTCCTCTTGCGAACTAGGCTCTCCGTACTTTCGCCAGTCTCTCAAATGGTTGCCAATCTTCGCGTGGCATTTCGATTCCTTCAACTTGAAAGGATTGTTTTTCAAGACATACAAAATCCCGGAACCGAAATCCATTCTCCTTTCATTCACCTCAGAATATGAAAAACTACTAAACTGACGGTCTGACACTCCCGTTTCGTAATTATACTTTCTGTATCCAAAACAAGGTCTGTCTGCAAACAACTGCACACTATTATTAAATAGCTTATTAAGCGTATTCAATCTAGGATGTATATTTGAAATAAGTTTCCCAGGCAGACTTTTATTTCTGTAGATCGGGGTACACTTTTCTTCCCCCGAATCAATAGGAATTGCTTCGTCTGCATACCGTAATGGTAGCTTAGAAATGAGCGATTCAACGTTTGTATTCTCTTCTGGTCCGAACAAACTGTGCTTGAAGTCCTCCTCCTCAATCGACTCTCCAATACTGGTTTTTTTGGTGGTCATATTAAGCTAGTAAAATGATATTTTGGCTAATGCCTTGTAAAACTTCATTCTGGGGTATCACCGACATATATACTCCGAAATCACGTGACAAATAGTTTCTTAAAAATACCCCGATAAGAATGTTTCACAGTTGACTATACAAAACGGGGCAGGCAACTGGGTAACCGAGTTGTAACTACCGCCGTCCAAGGCACGGTGGAGAAAGGTACAAATCAAGTATCTGAAGCAATAACAATGCAAGACTAACCTGGTATAGAAAGACACTCACGGTGGTTACGAAGGTATAATGTATTGAGTTTAACAAGTATTCAGCCCTTATCAAGCCGCTACTAGAGAATTTTGCAGTTACTTTCGTGACACTGATAGTGTTGCAAATAGGGGAGAAGAAACCTAGACAAGGTCCCCTCTTTGTAGTATTTCGGTTATTGGCGGGTATTTCTCGCACCCCATGCCTATTATGCGTGGCGTGAAGCTAAATGATCAGTCGTTTTTGAAGTCTGCACACCCTACTATGTTGGGGAAGAGAATTCAATTCCTTAGTGTTCATAAACTATTAATGATCTAAGAGAAGCAAGTGATAAGACAAATCAAAGGGTGTGGATATTGTGAGTGATTTCTGTAAAATTATGAAATCAAATATATGTACGTAAATTTCGTCTTCGTACAATTTACTATAAAATAATAATTGTTTAGAATTAATTGAGGTGCATAGGATTCAAAAGCAAGTTCAGAAGCATTATACGTGTATTCTTGGATAGGATTTCTGTTGTAGTGTGCCATTCTTAGATAGAGAAATAAATCAAGAAGAGTTGCCTCCAATTTTGTCAGTTTAGGACATCGATAGATTGAGGAAGAACAATGCCAAAATTATTTAATGGGATACAAAGTTCAATTTCCTTCAAACGAAACAGTCAATTTGAAAGAAACGTTGCATGATGCAGTAAGTTTAATGGCTGGTCATGACCTTCATTATCAATTCTCAACCTTTCCTCATAACTAAATAGCTTCAAACTTATGGAACCACAAAATTTTTAATCAGTGTTTTTGCTTTTTTAACATTGGGGTTATATATTAGGAGTAATTAGGTTGAGCAGTTGCTATAAAAAGCATTATATGAATAAAGTAGTCCCGTGCGGTGTTTAGTTCTGATTTTAATAAATATGAAAAGTAAAGAATATTGAGCGTATAATACTACAAGTAGAAATGGTCGACATATATATGTTCTCTTTTAAAATACCCTGATTATTTGAAGAATGTTTACTGACTATATCATTTCAATACGTATTTTTGTACTTTACTATTTGTACAAAAAACAATATGCTATATACAACATGCACCAGCTTTTCAAGCTGATATAAATAGAGCATGATATAATTAATTATAACGAGAAGATCAAAGATTTTTATAAGTAAAAGAGTAATTAATTCAGATGGGCACAGATGTCATAAAATCCGGTGTAATGGATGCAAGAAAAAACGAGGCTCCAGAATGGTTTACTACGGAAATGAATACTATATAGGCAGAAATAAGTTCAATGTAGAAGAGCTTCGAAAACAAATTTGAAAGCTCAGAGAAAAAAATGTCTGGCTTGGGAACCCAAATAAATGAGCTTAAGACAGATTTCGTCACAGTTGGTTCAAAAGTTGTTATATTGGAGCACAAGCATTCATGTTTGAGTAACTGAGAAGGACTCGAGGTATGATGCCGATAGTGTACCTTTCTTAAATAGAGAACAAAACCAAAAAGAATTGTCTCCAATTCTGTCAGTTCAAGACATTGACAGATTAACAACAATGCCAAAAACATTTAAGAGGATACATGTTCCATTCAAACGAAACAACCAGGCTAAAGGAAAAATTGCGGGATGCGATAGGTTTACTGGTTAATTGTGACATCAACTATCTGTTTTCAACTTTCACCAACAACTAAAATGGTTGACTCCCATTATAAATATAAGCACACCTCCTTTCTTCTTTGCAGTCTCTTTTTATTTTTCAATATAATACATGTATGTGTACGAACTTTTAAGTAGTTTTGACTTGGAAAATTCATCGTTCTTGAATGAATTATCGCAACCTAAGTCCTATAATTATAGGTTGAACAACTAGTGCTAAATATGCTGCAGCCGTTGACCATACCATATTAAGCCATAATTAAATTCACAATTGGATACCTTCCACTTTGTATTGACAAGGGTATGATTAATAACTTGTATCTTATTTAGTAGAACCATCAATTCATCTTCACAGAGGTCTTCCACGAATCTAATAATTGTGATATGTGCGGATGGTGCATGGTAACGTGGCCGTATATCAACACCACATGAGGTTATAGAGTCAAATAGTTCCAGTCTATATTTAATGTGACTCCTATCAACAGAAGTAAAGGTTAGTGCAATTGCATTTGCATCAAAGCAAATCAATGGATTGCTGAGCTCCGGTCCATCGTTAGCAATCGTAATTAGTTGATCAATGTGTGACAGAAGGATATTCACGACCTCCTTTATCCTGTTTTTGGTAGAATTGTTATCAATCTCCAAAACTGACATATGCAAGTACTCGTTGGGAGTAAGCCATAATGCTGAAGACTCGGAAACAGAATCTCTTAGCTTGTATTGAATGGACGATATAAGAGATTTAACATTTTCAGCTGGACGTGAAATAATGCAGCATCCTAATCGATCGTCATCGTCTTTCCCGGCAAGCACTGCATCAATATTGATTTTAGGATTATACCTGAGATTTTCGAGTTGTTTGCAATTACGGCTTTGTCGATACGCATCTTCGTCTATGCTATCTTTATACTGACAGGAAAGTTCTATATAAGGATTAATCATTTTTCTTTAGGGAATTTAATCTCTTATCGTAATTTTATTATAGACATTTACAAAATGATCTTATGATTTTTTCCAATGAGTAACGGATGCTGGGCCAATAATATCACAAAGATACCTAGTGGTTAAACGAAGAACTTCAAATATATAATAGTTGTGGCTTATCGGTTAATATGGTAACCATGAATTGTTTATTTTCTGTTTTAAGATATCTCATTTCGCGTTCTTTTTATTTAAAAGATATTTATTAGATAATTAATCTTTGTCAAATACACCTACTAATATTTAGTCAAGATGAAGGATGGAATAAAATCCGCTTTTGTTACAGGAGCTTCGTCGGGTATCGGATATAGTACTGCCATCGTATTAGCAAGTAGAGGGTATAGAGTTTTTGCTGGTGCAAGAAGATTAGAAGCTATGGAACCCTTGAAATCCCACGGTATCACTATATTGAAATTAGATGTTACTTCGATGGAAAGTATTACAGCTGCCAAGGATCTTATTGAGGAAGAGACCAAAGGGTGTTTAGACATTCTTTTTAATAACGCCGGTGTACCTTGCAGAGCCCCTGCATTTGATCTTGAAGAGGAATGGTTTCGCTTTTGCTTTGAGGTAAACGTATTCGGGCCTATGAGAACCGTCAAGGTATTTCATCCATTGCTAATCAAATCTAAAGGACTAATTGCATTTACTGGATCTACTGCTGGATTGGTGCCCCTTCCATTTAATACTGTATATTCATCATCAAAAGGTGCCATCCAGTCTTATGCAAATTCATTGGCGCTCGAAGTACAACCCTTTGGAATCAAAGTGATAAATTTTATAGCTGGTGCGGTCGATACAGATCTAGGTACAAATGATGCTCACGCCATACCAGAATCATCTGTATTTATCATTAATGGTGAAAATGTTTATGAAAATGGCAAAGTTCTCAAAAATTTAAAGAAAATAACTCCTGAAGCCTTTGCAAAGAAAGCTGTTAACGATATCGAAAAAAATTTGTCTAGTACACATAAGAACTTTTGGATGTCCTACAGAGGAAAAGGTGCTAGCTTTGTTAAGCTTCTTGTCTCATATTTTCCTCGTTCTTTCTTAGTTTACGCCATCGTTAAATCTTTAAAGTTAAAGGATACATTTACTAAAATAAAACGGAAGTATGCTTAGAGAGATAAAATTTTTAGAGTAAAGTTTAATGTCTGGTATAGGGTGCAATAAAGTTATAAGTGAAATATTGCTGAAATAATGTGGGTATTATATTATATTGCATTTTCTTGCTATGAACTTGTCATGTATTCCGCTATTTAGTTTCAGAAATATAACTAAGGCATTTTAAATATTTGGGAGTTTGAATAGAGAAATTTACGGCTTATTTTACTTTAAAAACTACTATTATATCATTAAGAGCACAAATTTGAAATCCAAATCACGAAGAATATTTGTTTTAAAGTGTATATTAAGACTAACTCTGTACCTACCACGTAACCAAATGTATACAACTCTGTATTACCTACTTCGTAATCAAATGTACACAACGCGATATTAGATTATTGATATCTCAATCAATTGACTAGAGGAATCAGAACGAATTTCCAATGCTTGCATAATCCTATAAAATATGAAATGCTTGGAGTAGTGATACCAAAATTATGAAACTACTTTAAAGGCAAATAAATAGTATATGCGTCTATTTGATCAATATTATACAGACAGGGAGGTGGATGATAGGATGCTCTTATAAACTTTAGAATTTGATGCACAATTACACTTGCAGCTCGTTATTCAAAAAGTAGAATTGGCGTCATAATTTATAAAGATTACAAGTAAAAATATAATTATGATTCCTAAATATAACCTTTCAATATTAGAACATATAATAGTAGAAATTCGTAGTTTGAATTACTCCAAGTTAATCTTTTATGAAACCTCTTTCTTGAGCGATAATTCTCAAAGCTAATTTCTTCGAAAAATATCTTGTTAATAAAAGATTTCCACCCATATACCAAAAGTTTGGATGTCCTGAATTTCTGTACATAACTTTCGTTTCACCTTCATCATCGAGACCCCAAACAGGGCTAAGTTTATCAGCGACTGTTGAACCGAAAATTTTTCGAGCGCTCTCTTTCATATTTGAATAGCCAGTTGCTAAAACAACTATAGCTACATTACCAATTTTAGAGCCATCTGAAAATACGACACCATCTTCAGTAAATTTGCGAATGTTCTGCCCATTCTTTACTAAAATTTTTCTTTCAGCAATTAGTCTAGAACAGCCGACGTCAATATAATAACCACCACCTCTTCTTAAGTACTTTCCAGGTAATCCAGTCCCACCATAACCATAATCTATATTAAAGCCAACATTTTTTAATGAATCGTGTAATTCTTTTTCCAAAGAAGCAATTCTCCTAGTTTGTTGTTGTAACGTTAAGTTCAATAGCTTCCAAGGCATTGACTGAGAAAGTAAATCTGCGGTATCAATTGGTGGACCACCTTCTTCGTAAAGCCGCTCGTTAGTTATTTCACCACCCACTTCTGCAGTGAAAATACATGTACTTGATCTTTGAACAAGCATTGGCTTAGCTCCTTGTTCGTAAAAATCTTGAGCGATATCATGTCCAGAATTGCAACAACCAACAACCAATGCATTTTCACCTTGATATATTTTACCAGTTGTATGTTGAGAAGAGTGTACAATTTTTCCTTTAAATTTATGCTGATCTTCAAAAGATGGAATATTCGGTTCACCTGAATGGCCGGTTGCCATTATGACATGCTTTGGTCTCAAAGTGATCATTTTTCCACTATCATTATCTATAACTTTGACCGTCCATATTGATTTTTCTTCTTCAAAATCAGCACCTGCAACAGTCTTGTTTGCCCAGAAGCTCAATTCCATATTCTTTGCATAATTCTCAAACCAGTCTCCTAATTTATCCTTGGGAGTAAATATTGGCCAAGTATCTGGAAAGTTCATATACGCTAAGTGATCGGCCCAAACTGGATCATGTAGAACCAAAAACTTATAGCGATTCCTCCAATTATCACCAATATTTGGATTTTTTTCAACAATCAACGTGTCCACTCCCATACATTTCAATCTAGATGCTATATTCAATCCACTTTGGCCGCCTCCGACAACCAAAACTGTGGGCTGTTTGGAGCTGTCTCCCCAAATAAAATCTTTTTCTCGATTCTCTAGCCACGACGTTCTTGCTTTATGTTGTCCATGACAGACACCTTCAGGTCTGTTAAAACCAAGTTGCTCTTCATTACCTTGAATACTTTCGAGACCGGTGTAGACCGAATAAGCTATCAATTTATTATCAACTGGAATTAACCTAATTACCCCGCTACCTTTCCCATATCTATTGTCAAAATTAATAATGAATTGTATCAACTGAATTGGTATTGGCTGTTCTCCTGTGGAATCCTGAATAGTGGCGACGTTAATACTATTCTCATATCTCAAATCCGCAGTTCGATTAACCTGAAAATTTTTTAATTGAAAATGTGACATTTGCTTATTTAGGAAGTCTTTAATCTGTCCTAAATCACTGTATTGATGAAAATCCCAACTAAGACATAAGTGGTCCTTCCAAAATGAATGGGGTGCAAAAATGCTATCCAATTCCTTCATATTTGATGCTGTAGGGGATTCACTAATATCCTCGAGAATTTTTGAGAATTTTGCAACCCATTCAGAAACAAGTTGCAATAAATCAGAATTCTTTAAAATGTCAGGCGTTGGAGTCATCTTTCCATACACCTGCTCGACGGGAATATCCTGGTCACAGGGTTCATATACCAATTTGGGGTTCACTTGACTGGCCATATCGGTAGTTGTTTGAGAAGACGTTTTGTTTGTCATCTTAGCTGACGATTGAAATTCACCTTCCAACATTACGGGATAACAGAAAAGAATTATAATTAATGCAAACAATTTATGACTAAAACATTAGACTTTGAGGTTACTTTATAGCATAATCTTTCGAAAGGGGGAAGAAACGGAGAATCTAGTTCCGTTGGAGGAAAGTGCGGGTATGTTGCTTCGGTAGTTTTCATTTTTACACTTAGTATGGTTTGCTCAATATCAACACTCCGATAATTTTACCACGAAATATTAGTATTATTTATTTACCGGGTAGTTTGGCATGCGAGAGAGATATACAGAAAGTAATTCGACTTTACTTAGACACGATATAGGGCAACAATGACTTTTACAACTTTAAAGGTTGGAACAATATTAAACATCAGTCGTGGATAGTTCATGTATTTGCAGCAGTTTACATTTGGGAAGTACGGCGTCATCGTACATATTGGCCATAATAAAAAATTTGTTCATATTGTTTTTTATTTAATCAATGGCTATCTAATGAATGCAAACATATATATGAATATATATTGAAATGGAGATTGTTTACAACGAACAATGTCCATTGGAACAGAAAATTGATCTTCTAGGAAGAGATTCTGCTGAACTAGCTGCAGATCTTGATCGCTATACCGAATATCAAGCTAATAGGCAGAGGGTAATTTCTATTGTCTCATCATCAATTTCAATATTTGCCGGGTTGGTAGGGATATACTTCTTTTTGGCTATATCAGATAGAAAGCGTATATTCAGGCATCATTTGATTATCTTTTTGATTCTATATGACTGGATAAAGGCCATATGCTTGCTATTGTACCCCGTACTCGTTTTGGTAACATCGAAGGCTTATTACGACGTAGGGTTTTGCAGGGTAGTTGGATTTTTTACAGCATTTTCAATTGAAGGCTCTGATTTTGCTATAATAAGCTTTGCCATTCACCTAGCCTTGTTGGTTTATCGACCGAACGACAGGATCAAAAGGGGAATTAATTATGAAGGTGGTTTATACCGCTATAGGTACATAGTTTATCCCGTGGAGATATTACTTCCAATTGTGCTAGCGTCTTTAGCTTTTATTGATGGCTTAGGGTATGCACCGTTAACCAATTGGTGTTATATTCCAAGCCGTCCAATCTGGTACAGATTAGTCTTGAGTTGGATTCCTCGATATATAATCATGGTTTCCATAATCATCATATACATATGCATATATCAACATGTGACAAAACAATATAGTAATGTTGGCAGAATAGTTGGTGACAATACTAATGAATCCACGATGAAACAAAAGCTTCGAAAATTTATGGGATTTTTAATGTTTTTCAGTTTCAGTCTTACCGATGATGAAATTCATAATTCAAATAATGGATTGCAAAGAGGAAATATAAATACTGAGACTGTTCAACAATTTAAAACTCGACGAATTCAAACCCAAAGACAAATAAGGGCTATATTCATTTATCCTATATCGTACATTTTTTTATGGATTTTTCCCACAATAGTTCACGGAATGGACTTCCGATATGGGCTTTCTATTCGCCCATATGTATGGCTAAATGGAATTGCTGCGTTTATGCAACCATTCAATTGCACTGTTGATACTCTTGTGTTTTTGATCAGAGAGAAACCTTGGAGAATCACCACCCTTAAGGTCGATTCGTCTCTAACTGAAAATTACAAGTATCCACGATGGAGAAAATTGCTTTCTTTTTTACCGTTATTTAGATTACCTGGATCATTGGAAACTCTGCGGTTAAATTATTTAGATTCTAAGAACGAGATAAGCACGTCAGAGAATGCTAATTCTCACGAGATTTCAAGCATTCTTTCAGATACAAACAACACAGGTAATATCGGGCATGTATTTAGGAGGAGCTATCCGCCTGCAATCATAGGTAATGTTATATCTTCTGGATCAACTGATTCAGGTATTGTTACTTTACAAGGTGGAAGAACAGAAAATAATGAAATAATAAATAATGAAGATCAAGTAAAGCAGCCAAATTTCCTACGTATATCTCATAGTAGTCAACCATTACCTGTGGCTACAGATGAGGTGGGTTTTGAAGATTTTCTTAAGGCTGGACCTAGGGAAGAAATAGATCCATAAAATCAAAGAGGGTAATATTCCAATTAGTATAACAAAATCATAGGGAGTAGAAGAGAAAATTCTCACTCATCTACAAATGACCTAAATTTATAGATTCTAATTCTCCTTTGATAAATCGAAATGATGAACTATATATTTATAGTTTAATTTGAACTTGTTAAATGCATAATTAATACTTATATTACGCATAAGTTTGCGTATTGTAGTAGATTAAGTACGAAATACAGTGGTTGCCGAACAATATCCTGAATATCCGGATGCCTATTTGCATTAGTAGTTAATGTTTCTACTTGCAGATATTACTTCAGAATTTTTATCTTAGTTCAAACTGCTAAGTTTTAGACCATCTCTTTTATATTTTATAATGTACATCGTATCCCTGATTTTTTAGTTTTCCTTTACTTGCAAAAACAACCCATGGCTACGATTTTTATTGCTTAAACATAGTGTAACAAGTAACCAGGAATAAAGAATAGTGTGTTATATAAGAGAAATACATACATTCAATGAAATTCTCCTGCTCTTTTCTATACTTGACGCATAATATTTGCAAAATTCCCATTTATTTAGAAAGAATGAAATATTGTTAGGAATAGGAATCAACTTGAAGTCACTATAAACTATTCATTACGATATTCCCAAACTCACAAGCAAATTCCATATATGGGGATATTAATTTCATTAGTAAATGTAAGTTAGAATAATACTAAAAAAATATCTTGAAATTAGGCATTAGAATGAAACACTATTAAATCAGTTGCTTGCTTTTACCCCATCTGTTAAAATGTTAACAAATTATTTTCATCGCCTCAGAAGATCTTTCAGGATGTAACATTAGCGAGTGTTAATAGAGATTCAGTTGGGATCTCAATCTTCTATAGTATCTGCACTTCATGACTTGAATGACACATTCTAACGTATATCTTATAAATTATCGCAGCACAATTTTTTTTTGCCTATTTAGGCAAATAGTGCGATCAAATAAATTTCCTTATAAAGAACAAACTATCGTTAATTGCATAACTTAATAGGTTGACGTATGTACCATTACCACAAGAACGACCCTATCCTCCAATAACAATTAAAGATCTTGCGTTTGTAGCAGCAAGTTAGGATGTCGTAAAAGGAAATTTAGATGGGGTTATAGTAACTTTTATTTTTTATTATTCTATAACCATAAATGGGCAATAGATCTGATTTTTAAATGGACAAAGAAGTATATTCAAGGCAATGTGAGTGACATAATCATCTTTATTCAAAGCCGTATTACTATTTAATTATCCAGATGCCCATGTAATTTTAATGCTCTTTTCTCTAAATTATATAATTATACAAACTTTAATTAGTATGAGATTTATTGGACTTATTTTTGCTGTATTGGCAATTATAAATTTTAATTTAGCTGCTCCCCTTATTTCCTCTGAAGTGAAACCTTCTAATGAATACGGGACTAGAGAACTATTATCAGATGATGTATTCAAAAGAGATGATTTCAACAGCATATTTGAAGAAGATGAAAGCTTAGCTAAGAGAGATGTTGCAGTAATTACAGAATTCTTTACTGCACTTAATAAAAGTGGTTTAGTTGTTCCAGTTGTAAAAATTTTGGCAACCAATAAAATAACTGAACCCTTATTAGTTCAGGCCATTGTTGCTTTTCTTAAAACCCAGAATTTGGCTGATTTGCTTCATGCAGTTGACGAGTCAGGACTCGCTGTTGATATCGTCCTTAAAGTATTACAGGATTCTACTTTTTTCCCTGGGCTATTCAATATTATCAACGGTTTGAGAACTGGAGCGACTACTACTCCTCCTAAGAGCACATTGGACACTGAAGCGTTAACTTCTGCGTTGAGCCCTATCGCACTGACGTACAGCAAATACTCGGGGTTGAGTTCAAGTCTTAATTCGGCATTAGACAATCTTGGAATACTGACCTCTACTAATTCTGGACTCTTATCGGCTTTGAATCCAGTTTTATCCGCGGTTGGATTAAAAAAGGGATCTACAGGTTCTAAAAGTGGCGCTTCGACCTCTAGTTCAACAGAATCTTCAGCTAAGGCATCCCCAACAAGTTCCACAAAATCCGCTTCTACATCGACTACATCAACTACTACATCATCACTGGCATCATCGCTGTCATCTTCGCTGTCATCATCATCTTCAGGATACCTTGCTAAACTTCTTGCAAAGATTAAAGCGTCCTTCACAAAGCGTGATAGAGTTGCCGATATCATTAAAAAAAGAGACAATAAAGTTTTAGATAGTCTATTGGAATCTTTGGAAAAATCTGGATTAGCAATGTCAGTTATAGATCTGATCGCCACTGATCCTGATATGGCACCTTTTGCAAGAGATTTAATAACCCAGATTGTTAAAAAACAGGCTATCACATTGGATGGATTACTGCTGGCATTAGATAGTACAAACTTATTAAATGATGCAATCATTGACTCCCTCTCAAGTCCAAAGCTTGGTATAACTATCAATTAGGCCCAATTTTTCTATTTAATCATCTCCACCATTTTATTGAATTTTTTACTGTTCCTCAAAAACCTTTAAAATAAATATGTACAAATATATCCACAATTCTTTGTCAAAATTGTAGTCAGAACATCAATATGTATCGAGGAAATAATTTTATAATCATCGTATATTTCTTATTATATCAAACTTGAAGATGCGTTTTACTTAGATTAGTGGTTGGAAGAACACGTTCAAGAAGGGTGTCACAACTCCTGAAGATGGAACGCAATATAATATACACTTAACCACCACGATATTACATGCTTGTAAAATAGTCTTTATGAAATCTATTAGAAGATATATATAATTATGAAATATTTTGAAATTAATTAAGGGGGTAATAATAAATGCTATGTACATTTAACACACGTTATTGCAATAGCAATAGGAATTTCTCTATTTTTGATTTTCAGCGTCCTTTGCACCTGTATCATCAGGAGTGTAAGCATACTTGGAATAAGTTCTGATCTTAGCACCGTAGAAGTAGAATCCATATGGAATGGCACAACATGCTAATGAGATAAATGCCATTAAACTACTAGCCCACTGATAACCTAATCTGTGATACATTTGAATAGTGAATAAAGGAACACACGCACCCCAAATCGATCTGACTAATGTTTTAGCTGCTAATCCACTTGCAGCATAATGTTGATAAGAATCAACAATATAATTATTGGCTGGGTTATACAAACAGCAGAACCCAAATCCAGCTCCAAGACCACTGAAACAAGGTCCTGCCCACGAAATAGTAGGATAAGAAGACCATGCAAATGAAAACAAACTAGCAGGAACGAACCAACAACTGATCATCATAGGAATTAATCTTAATTCCGCTGGTGGTAATTCTCCTCTATCTCTATAGACTTGAGCTCTCTTGTTATAATCCTTATTAATTAATGGTGCACATGCTGTAGCAACAAGCACACCAACACCGATTGGAATAAACATAATACCAACTTTGGAATCACTCCAACCCTTACCTTCACCAAAGACAACAGGATATGCAAAGAAGAACATGTACAACAATCCATAAATGACTGACATATATAAAGTCATCAAAAATACAATTAATTCGGTCAATAATATGAATGGACGTAAAAAGGAATCATTACAAACTTGCTTGAATGTCTTGATCTTTAATTCCGAAAGTGCTCTGTATCTGTCATCTCCAGTATCCTTTCTCAACTTCTTAGCTCTTCTTTTCAAGAGTGTTTGGTGGTGAGTCTCAGGAAGGACTGCAACAAAAATAATATAGAAAAAACCAGCAATGATTAAAAAAGTCCAGTAGACCCATCTCCAAGTACCTGCATAGTCACCAAGTAAACCACCAAAAATTGGACCCATAACTGGACCTAAAAATGGAGCGGCTGAGAAAACGGCCATCGCAGCACCTCTCTCCTTGGCTTCCCAGATATCAGCTAACGAACCGCCAATAAGACACATTGGAGCAGAAAATGCTAAGCCATCAATTAATCTACAAGCAATCATGGTTCCAATATTCTTTGCCAAAGCACAAGGAATAATGAATACAAGACCAACGAATAATGTTACAACATAAACTGGTTGTCTACCAATTTCTTCTGAAACAGGAGCGAATACACATGGTCCAAATCCAAATCCAAGAACAAACATGGTTACTGTAGCTAAAATAACAACTTCTTCACTAACTTCGAAATATTCTACTTGGCCTCCAATATCACCGGTGACAATAGCAGAACCTAAAGCAACAACGAAACAAATTGCACCCAAAACTGCAGTATAACACCATTTCAAAGTCTTTGATTTATTCATTGGGTTCTTTTCATCACCAGGTACAAATTCCACCAATCTTAAACCAGTATCTTGGTCAATAGGATATTTCCACGGATCTTGCTCATTGAGAGTAGAATTTGGATCTGGATGGGTTTCAATTTTCTTTATATCGTAAGGCTCTTCTAAATCACCTAATTTACCTGCACCTGCTTCTAATTCTGTGATAATTCTTTCCACACCTCTGTTATTAGTGACTAACCTTTCTAAACTTTCCTTGTCTTCACTTCTACTGTTGCTTCTGCTCCGGCTTTTGAGCGAATTAGGTTGTGCTTCATTACCTTCAAATCTATTCACTTTCTCACTATTGATACTTGCATCATCAATAGTTGTTGAATTATTATCATGAAATTCTGAACTTGTCATATTGAATATATTTACTGATCAATATCATATCTAATTATCTATAAGGGGTTAAATCGTTGCCAATTTATACCAACCAAACGATTTCTTTTCATTCCATCAAATTTAAAATTTTATTGCCGATACCGAATTACTAGATGAGAAAATATTATCTAAGGTAATTAATTTTCTTCGTGACACACAAAATAAAAAGAACCTTCTAATATTGCTCTCCCCACCGTAAACATTTTGGATTGCTTTAACTTAAGGACCTGGGAGTACTTCGATCATCACATAGGTGGTTGCGACCATGGTTTACGAAAGAGCAGTAATTATATCTGTACATCCCAAAATATGCTATTTTGAGTATCCTAGAAAATCCAGGATCACCCGGCAATGGATATACCGAATACTATGATAATACATGAATGTAAATACAAACCGTACGTTTAGGTGCTTTGTTTATTGTATAATAAGCGGCATAGAGGTTTTGTAATAGCCGTTCCAAAAATTTATAGTGCAAGTATCGGAAGTCGGCTTTATGTTGAGTTCTTAATATCGCACGGCTGGTAGTTAAGAAATGGCTTTCACATATATCCGCATGCCTAATTAAGTAAAAAGCTATATTTATCAGACTGCATTTCGGCATAAAGGAATATTCTACACTATTCAAAGGAAATATAAATCGGAAGTGTAAAACGCTTCTCAGTGTGATCCATACTTCGCCGTATAACCTCTTGTATATAAACATACCTTGTTTTCCCTTATGTAAAAGAGGAGTCTCTATTGTATTTTTGAGTTCCGTGGAGGTTTTGGATCATCTGTTTCTCATTTGCTTTGCAATTCGTTTCCAGAATAAAATTCACTACACTAATATATTCTTCAGAGGTCAATTTTTGACAAAAATAAAATCAGTTAAAGGATGGGTGGCAAAATGGGTAAAGAATGACTGTCCTGAAAATGGTCAGTTTCGTCCTGACCATTAAAAATTATATTTTAAACCGATTAGCTAGAAGCATTTTTTCCTTTGTACTAAAAGGTAGATGGCTTCACTACAAAACATTTGACACCAATTCTTAGACTTCTAGTATATTCAAATCTATAAACCAAGGAACTAATAAGAATACCTAAAGCTTCTGTTTTCAATATCTGATAAATCTAAAAATTGGTAATTATCAGGTAACTTATGTAATTGTTCCTTATCTCTCTTCTCGTTTTCCTTTTTTGATAAATAACCAACTAAGAGGGTCAAGGGGACAGAAGCAACTTGCGTTACTAGAATGGCAATCTTTGCTGGTACGTATCCAGGAAAGTCTTTTGCCTGAAACATTTGGGGCCCAAGAAGGCAAGATAAACTGAAGAAAATCATTGTTAAGGCATTTCTAAACATTCTTTTTGTATATCCAGCCGTGTTAGCACTATTCCATGCATAAATCAACGTAATCGAAGAGGAGCCACTATACAATAAATAAAGAGCTAACAAGTTCCCTATCTGTTGTGTTATAATGTTCGTTGACAAAAGGACAATGGATCCAATAATAGAAGGTATAAACATGGAAACAGTAATATACGTTCTATGACCATAGCGAGCGACAAGCTGAGTTGTTATCACAATGATAATAATAATTATTGCCCCTAAAGGAATTTGGAGTAATGCAGTTTTATAACCGTCAAATCCAAATGTTCCAATAACTGTAGCACTATAAGTCCCTATAGCACCCGTAACAATCTGTGAAGTACCAGTAAGAAGTAGCATTGGCCATGTTAACTTATCTTTAAATATTAATTCGTACAATTGTTCTTTTTTGAATTTTTTGTTCTCTGTACCAGTCTGATTCTCTCTGATATGTTCCAAAACCAACATTTTTTCGTTATTGTCCAAAAATTGTGAGTTTACAACATTGTCTGGTAAGTAAAACCAGACAAAAATTCCAAATAGGATAGTAATTAATCCCACAACTAAGAACAATATCTGCCACGATTGAAATTCAGTAGTGTGAATGTGTTGAAATCCAAATGACAATAAGGCCCCAACTATAGTAGCAGTACCTGAATTTATACTCCAAATGCCCATTCTCGCTACCTGCTCTGACTTGGTATAATACATTCCACTAATGGCTATAATTCCAACCGCAGAACTGCTTTCAAATATACCTAACAATGTTCTCACAATCATTAAAGATGCGTATGTTTTGCAAGCAGCATGGCATGTCAAAACTATACCCCATGAAACGATACAAATACTGAAAGCTCTAGAAAGGGGAAACTTTTGTAAAAAATACGAAACGAACGGTTCAGCAAAGATATACGAAGCATAAAATATGGTACTTAAATTAGAGAATTCATTTCCAACCAAATTCTCCTTAATCCCCATAGCAGCGGAATAGTTTAACAACGTCTTATCTAAAAATTGTAAAAAATAGATTGCACATAATAACGTCAATATCCTAAGATCAATTTTCCGTAATAGTTTTCGTGGTAATTTGGTATTCTCAATATCATTCTCTTTACTCTTTAAGAATTTGAACGCAACATCGTAATTGCTAGTGTCCGATGTGTCAATATCACTTAACTCTCCACCGAACTCATGATCTTTTTCAATATCACTCATTTTACGAAATATTCAATTTCAATTCTTCGTTGATAATATGAACTTTGGAGATCATGTCTTTTATATATATGCATGAGTTTCTCATACTATTAGATGCCTCAAATTAAGAACCAGAATTATAAGCGCATATTCGAAATTTTTTATTCAATTTCGCAACTCCCAATATATTGCATGGATGAGGTACTACCGTACAGTCTAGCCTATGAAAGTTGATTATCAGCCCATATATCCAAATCTTGTAATATGTTTCTGTTAACTCAATTAGAGATCAAAATATACCTAATTTTTCATTGAATAATAATCCCAAATATATAAACGTTATTAGCGCTTCATAACAAAATTTCAAAAAATTAGCATCATTTTTGGCATCACTGAATTCCGCTAATCTTTGGGTAATTCCGATTCAGGATTCGAGTAACTTTAAAAAGAAAACCTTGAATGCTTATATATATTTATCACATTTCAATATACTGCAAATGATTCCCCATGAATTCTGGGGCCTATCAGTAATTATCGGATAAATAAATACACTATGCAGTATTTCCAATCGATTTCAATAGACGGGTTGAAGACTTCCACTCATATATTGATCAATTTAATTAAGGAAGACAAGGATAAAAGATGACAGATATTTACAAGTATAGCTTAGCTGAATTGGATAAGTTGGAAGGTGATGAAATAAGATTAGATAGATTTGACAGCAATGTATGCTGGAAATTAGGATCGATTGCAAGAGACTTATCTCTTGAAAGATATCCCACCAAACCTGTTGTTATTGATATTTCATTAGCTTCTGGCCAAGTATTATTCCATTCAGTTACTAATGATGGTACATCTTTAGACAATGATCAATGGATTTCAAGAAAAAAGAGAACAGTGTTAAGGTTTGGCAAGTCAAGTTTTTATATTGGTCAAAAACTTAGAATCAAGGGACAGCCAATGGAGGAGGCACTTTTTGTTTCACCAATTGATTATGCTAGTCACGGCGGTAGTGTCCCAATTAGAGCCAAGGGAGTCGATGGAGTTATAGGTACATTGACGATCAGTGGTTTGGCCCAAGAAGAAGATCATTTGTTGGCAATAGAAGTATTAACTAAGGTATCCAGAAATTAGAATTAAAGAATGCTAGGTTTATGATTTCTTCCAGAATTTGCCTAGGACTAATTACTGAATTATTGGTTTTTTATTAATTGGCTTATAAGTTGAATGACTCAATCTTAATATTTCGAGTTTATAAACTGTTGTTGTAGACTAATTTAAATTTTGATTCCATGATATTCAATTTAGAAAAGCTTTAACTTTCGATAGAAATATATATAAAATATATTGGTTAAATTTATTATTTAAAACGATACTTAACTATTTATATCCGTACGCATACCAGTTTTTTAAAACTTTTTCCTTAATGGCTTCATCATAGCCGTCAAAATCACAAGTGACGAAATCAACTCCCTCAGGTTCATACTGTTTAGGAAACAAGCAATCTGTAACACAATTTCCTCCCTTTAAGGTTTTTATTCTTGGTCCTTGGCCGATGAATGGCGCCAATGGGAAAGCACGATAGTCATTGAACATATATTGGTCATCACCTGGTGTATGTCTCGTAGCATAAGCCCAGAATAATTTTCTGAAGTCGAAAATGTCAACATCATCTCCAACTAAGACAATTTCTTGAAGTATGAAGCCAGGTTTTGAACTATAATAATAATCACCAATAAGCTTACAGAATTCTACACTATTGGTATTCAATTTAGCGAGTTCTTCGGTATTCACTCTAAGAGCTAGCCATAAGGCCACACCCTCATATGGAATAAATGCTTCCATAATAACATTTTTTAATTTTGGGTGTTCTAAGGCCATTTGCTTGCATTCGGCACTGACTAATCCACCAATTAATGTATGTGTCTCATCCGTACATAAACCTGGGTTTGAAACTGGTAATATAGCATCATCTCTGTACGTTATAGTTTCAACAGTATATAATGGACAAGGGTGTCCATGTCCAGGGAAACAATAACCATGCATTTCACCAAATGGACCTTCTTCAACCATCTTATTCAAATTCAAGGTACCTTCGAAAACCATTTCAGAATCAGCAGGAACTTGTAAATCATTGGTCTCACATTTAACAACACTTAAAGGTTCACCAACTAAAGCACCAATATAATCAGCTTCTGTAGCTCCATCTGGAATAGGCATTGAACTTACTAAAATTGATGCAGGTGGTACACCGAAACATAATGCAAATGGGACGCTATCTCCCTTGCCAATTTCAGCCCATGTATCTGCAACCCTTCTAATATGTTGCGGATTCATAACCAAGCCAGTTAAATGCTTGTCATCATAAATCATTCCTCTGGCAATTGACCAGTTTGTCCAGGTCTTGTCTGCTGTTTGTAACACAAACATTCCGTAAGTCTGAATATACTTACCACCATCCCCAGGATGCAACGTAGGTGCAGGCAATGCGTTCAACCTAATATCATCGCCAGAAATCTTGTTTTTTTTGCACGGAGCTCCCGATGCATCTTCAAGCAAAGTTGGAGGAAGAGGCTTCTTGGTCTTGGCTTCTACCAAGTAGTCAATAATCTTCGTCATAGGAGTTTGTGAATCCAACCCCAAATGAAGAGCAATTCTAGCATGATCATTGTCTTTTTTTGCATCTCTTAAACCACCAAGACAGCCGACAATATTGAACAAATTACGAGGGTCTGGATTTTTAGGGTCCTTCTTCAAGTTTTTAAATAAAGGTACTGGCAAGTTTTCTTCGTAGACCCTTCTCATAATAGCACCCACCTCTAAGTTTGGATCGCACTCGGTGGTAACCTCTACTAAATCATTCTCATTTCTGAGAACTTGAAGGAAATCTCTAAATCTTAACTCTGGTCTTAAATTGCTCATCTTATTTTTGTACAAGTCTTTTTGAATAGAATACGAAATTGCTTCTATTTATGCTACCTTCTGAGATATTAATCGTTGCGCGCATTTGCTTAGAGACCGATAGCGACCGATAATGCAGTGAATTTTCGCTAAATCGCGCAAATAAGGATTACATGCTTACTGTGTCTGAATGAATCGAATTATGGATGTCCAGAGACACTATTATAACAGCTGAAAATTACGTTTGAGTTGTTAATCAGGTATTCAAATTTATAAGATATCAAATAGCAACATTTCAAGGTCTGAAATGACTGTCTATTTGAGAGAAAGAACAATGCTGCGCTATCTTTTAAATGCAACAAAATCCGGCCTAGGAGCTCGGTGAGGCTTTTATTTAAGCGTCTTTTTTTACTGTCCAGCCCTATATATAAATGAATATAGTTTTCGCCTATAACGAATGCAAAATTATTTTAATTCATTTAAACAAAGCAAATGATATGTTAACTGACGTTATTAAATCATCAACAAATATATTACATAGAACTGCAGGTCATATATCAATGAGAGCATCTAGTTCTATGGGACACAGATTTAGGCATTTTTCAATGTCATCGACAATCAGGAACAAGAACCTGATTAGCGACTATGAACAGGCTTCCAACGATATATACCAGAATCAGCCAACAGGATTGTATCATACAAGACCTAAGAGGATAGTCGTGGCAATAACTGGGGCTACAGGTATTGCAATCGGTGTAAGGGTATTGGAATTATTAAAGCAATGTAAAATTGAAACACATTTAGTTATGTCCAAATGGGGTATGGCAACAATGAAATATGAAACGGATTATAATATGGAAGATATAATGGCACTTGCGTCAAAGGTGTACACTGCCAGAGATGTGAGTGCACCAATTTCGTCAGGGTCTTTTCAACACGATGGTATGATTGTCGTGCCGTGTTCGATGAAGACATTGGCTGGGATTAGGATGGGATTCACAGAGGATCTTATTGTAAGGGCCGCTGATGTTACTTTGAAGGAAAGAAGAAAGTTATTATTAGTTACCAGAGAAACACCGTTATCTGACATACATATAGACAATATGTTATATTTATCAAGAATGGGGACAATTATCTTCCCCCCAGTACCTGCATTTTATACAAAACCTAGAACAGTAGAGGATATCATAGAACAAAGTAGTGGAAGGATATTGGATTGTTTTGGGATTGATACAAATACTTTCCCACGTTGGGAAGGTGTTAGAAATACGAAAACACTTAAATAGTCATTAACCACCGCATTACATTTAATAGAATCTATTTACCAATCACTTTTATTCGGGAAGAGTTGAATTCGACTGTAGGTTTACAACTGGGAAATAATAGCAGAAAAACTCTATTTTGTAATTTCATCAACATAAATATATATTCTTAATCTAATTAGCAAATTCAATCAGAGCCTTCAACACCGGCGATATAGGCCAACGACCAGGTTCTCGACATACCGTTATCTATCATAGAATTATCCCAGTCTTTTCTTGAAAACCATTTCCACGATTGTCTAGGGTTAACTAATGCAAAATTCAACATCAAAATACCTTTCCAGCCATCAGTGATTTGGTTGACGATACCTGCCAATTTCTGATCCCATTCTTCTTGTACAAAACCCTCGTTTCTAATATAGGATGATATTGGTGTGATTGGTAACATATGAATTCCATGAATCCATTCATCTGCAATTTGGCCTCTACCAAAGTAGGTTGCAAAATCAATTTTATTTTCAAAAGAAATACCAGCAACTTTATTCTTAATAAACCTCTTCGGTTGAATCTTATTATCGTCAGAATACAACATGTACATATTCATAGATCTCCTCATAATAGCCAACATTAGATTTGCACGAACTTCCATATTCGAGTCATTAATTATCTTAGCAAAAAGTTTCATACCGTAAGCAAAATGGTAATCTTCTGAAGACGACTCTTCGTCCTTTCCATCACCTGAAGCAAATATACCGTGAGCAAAGGAATGGCCATGATACCAATCAAACGATCTTGACACGGGAAAGTACTTATCGTCCTTTGAGGGATTTGCTACATCTCTAAGTAAGGTCAAAGTAT